AGATGCAATAGATGGGCTCCTTGATGAAAGTGCTGAGGTGGAAAAACTGTTTAAAGTTTGGCACGAGAAACTCAATGTTGCTTGTGTGATGATCAAGTTGGTGTACTCGCAGCAGGAAGCCGCTTCAGGGAAGTAGCAGGCAATGAAGAGATGCAGAAGTTTGCTGGATCGATTTTCATGGGTAGGCGCGTGTAAGCAGCTGAACTCCGTTGTTGCGAGCAATGCGCTGTAGTTCCGTGATTGCTGCGATACCATTAAGCTTGATCGCTAAATCCAAACTTCCTAAGCGCGTCATCTAGCCCGGGTAAGTACTTCAGAAATCATAGATGTGGCATTGCTGAGCCAACGTATGGCAAGCATTGCGGTCGAGCAAGCCCAAACATCGGCTATGCAGCGTCCCGGTACCATCGATGTGGCTCCACCTCTCTCATGATAGCGACAGGGACCGCGTATATCAAATACCTCCTGTCGCACGGGATACCGATTTCGAGCTTGATCATCCGTTCCTTCTCTCCACATTTCAACCCGATCCTATACGTTGTTCCATCACAAAGGTAACGAGCAACCATCGTCACAAAATGTTTGGTTCACCACACTCTACGTCGCGTCACCTCCGACGCCGCCAGCAGAACTACTCCTGGGACCACGGCTATCTCTACCAATCCGAACTCACCCCCGTCCCCTCCTACGAAGACCTCTCTATACCCACTGCCATCCACACTCCAATCGACCTCCCCTCTCGCGTCAGCGCTCTGAACCGCCGCGCAGCTATCGTCTCAGCCAACCTCACTCATCTCACCGCCGTCGTCAAGCCGCTTGAAACGATCAAGCCCGATGACCTGAGCGAAGCCCACCTCAGCGACATGTGGGAGGAGGGTGTGTGCTTGGGAAAGGCGATGGAGGAGTTCAAGGAGCAGATGGAGGAAGTGAGCTTGATATTGGAAGAGTTGCTCATCGGTCGCAAGAAGGGAATGAAGATCTTGGGTGGAGTTGGTTTGGGATTGGGCTTGGAGAGTAGTAGGAGTCTGTCTAGGGGCTTCAGTAGGAGGAGGGGCCTTGGATTCTGAGTATGGGCAATGGAGAAGGGGGATGATGCGACAGGTTTGGGTACCAGTGGCATGGCGTATCGGAGTGAAATTGTCGGAGCTTGCTATTGTTTGTGAGTCACACTGTCGTTTACGAAGGCTTCATGTATATTGAATCAATGTGTTGTTATATCAGTCTATTCTAAGCATTTCGTATCTACGCAGAGATCGACTGCGCCGGTACACTTTCTACAGTAGGCACAACCGGCTTCATCAAGCCTTGATCATCGAAGTACAGTCTATCGATGGTGACTTCTCTGTTGGTTCCGTTGCCGTTCGGGATGGCAAATCGGTGGTAGCAGATATACCAATCGTCGGTATTCGGGACGTTGATGATGGAACTGTGACCAGTAGCAAGTATCCCCTTTGAGGCATCTTTCTGCAATATAAGACCGTGGTATGTCCACGGGCCATGAACGCTCGTAGATGTCGCGTACCCTACTCTGTAGTTCTCTGAACCAGTGTCATCGATAGAGTATGTGAGGTGGAAGAGGCCCTTGCGGTAGTTCATGAAGATGCCCTCGCGGAAGTCAGGAAGACCGCCAATGGAACGCGTTGTGTCAGCCTTCAGCGAGAGCATGTCATCGCTGAGCTCAGCGTAGAGTGCGGGTGTGATGTCTGAGCCTCCGTTGCCCCAGAAGATGTAGTATTTGCCAGTAGTCGGGTCTTCAAACACGTCTGGATCGATGGCTTGGCCAGTGGTAACATTGCCTTCGTTAAGGATCATAGCTTCCGCCTGTGCTGTAAAGGGTCCTTCGGGCGCGTCTGCAACAGCCACGCCGATGGTCTTGCGGTCGTACTTTGGATTGTTTCCGCTGAAGTAGAAGTAATACTTGCTGTCCTTTTCGATGATGGTCGGGGCCCAAGCATTTCCGTTCGCCCAAGGTACGTTACCGCTGGTACCATTGAGGGTCAAGAAAGGTTCGGCTGATCGGGTCCATGAAACTAGGTCAGGCGACTTCCAGACGTAGAAGACATTACCGCCCCAGCCAGGGAAGCCATCCGTTGTCGCGTAGATGTAGTAGTTATCACCGAAAACCGCGATGTTGGGATCCGCGTATAAACCGGGAAGGACAGGGCTGCCTGCTGTCTTAGCAGCGACAGAGCGTTTTGACTCCGCAGTCAAACCAGCAAGTTCTTTTGCCGTTACTGGAACCACAGTGCCGTGACGTGGGCTAGTCGGCAATTTGTATGAACTGGAAACCTTCCAGTCAGGGTTGGAAATGTCTGCCGTCTCTAGTGGAATGTATCCACGTCCACCGTACTCATCCACAAAGAGGTAGTACTTCTCGCCATTGACATCGCCTGGATTGGATTTGAACACTGTCGGTCCCTCGACACTGCTAGTGCCGGCGTTGCGACCAATGCATGTGGCAACTTGGGTCCAGGACTGTACAGGAGCAAGGAGCGAGTCAGAACGCTCTTGGATGATGTCGGAGCAGTTTGTGCCTGTGCCTCCTTCGTCTTTTGTGAACCGGTAGAATGTATTCGCCTCTTGTATGACCGTAGTATCGATCCGTGACATGCCTGCGTCCTGCCAGATCTCGGGTTCGCTGAACGTGACGAAGTCCCGAGTAGTCACGTAGAGCATGCGGTGGTACGTCGCCCCTGTGCGGTCCGTATCGCTCTCAGCGTAGAGAGAGGACGCCCAAAAGACTACGTACGAACCAAGATCTGTATCGTAATACGCCTCTGGCGCCCATGTGTTTCCAGCAGTGGAAGGGGAGACCTTGACGTGCCGTTGCTGAGACCATGTCTTGAGGTCGCTTGACTCCCAGATCTCTAGATACAAGCTACCTTTGCGAACTGCATCTCCCCAGGAAGTACCGGATCCAATCGACAAGTCGGTAGCTAGCAGGAAGAATCTATCGCCCTCTGGAGAACGTATGACGAAGGGGTCACGTAACCCCTTCGTGCCTTCAGTAGAGGCAAGGATAGGCTCGCCGTTGTTGAGTTCTTTCCAAGCTAAAGCGTTGTTGCCTTCGCTGGCTGCAAGATAGATCTTCTCGCCAGCCAACGAGTTGCCCGTAAAATACGCAAAGGCATAACCTTCAAAAGCATCAAGTTTGACCGCCTGACGTACGTTGGCACTGAAGGTGCGATTCGAGGTCGTGCCGTCGCTGTCGATAATCGCTGTAAGATCAACTACAGTGTCGGCACTTTGTCGCTGAACCACGCCGTCTGCTGATATTACGGAAGGTTTGTTGCTCATCCATGTGACGTTCTGGTTCTCTGAGACGCTTGGTAGATGAAGATTCCCACGAACATCGTCAATGTTCGTGATCGCGAGGCTTTCTAGTGCTGATTGGGCCTGCGCTTTGGAGGTGGATTGGGCAGAGACTGTCGACCACAGACTCCACGCATAGAGTGGTAGGCGGTACGACCGCATGATGAAACAAGAGGAAGTAACGAGAGAGATACAGATGACCTACGGATTCTATGGGAATACATACCATGAACATATACTGCGACTATAAGCCGGGAGCTATACTTAACTCATACTTTGGAGCCATAACCAGCCATCGGAAGCGATACTTTATCAACTCATCTCCTAGACTCTTGGTATCCTAGTCTTGAGTACGAGAAACTCCACGAATACGCGTTGACGGACAGAACCTTCTTTCAGCGACTTCCAGGGACCCTAGTCGTGTCAAATTGCTAAACCTTGACGATCCCCGGACTATCCTCCACATCTGCTTGAGTCGTGGAGCGTGGGAAGTGTGGACTACCAGGCACATGAGAAAGTAGAAGACGATGACGCCCCTCCCGAGGTCCTATGCGGAAATAGTTTGCGGGGTATGACGCTAATGACGCACGAGCCACTGGCATCGGTCTACTTTGATGGCAACTCGGGGTGAAGACTACCGGACTCATAAACGACTGCAAGACCACTGTTCCTCATCTGTGTAGGGAGCTTGCTCGCTGAATTTTAGAGTCTCCGTACGCGTGCTGGTACTGCTGTCTCGATGTCCATTGCTGAAAGCGCCATGAATGGAGTTTGTTTTTGGCGCCACTCCGGCAGCGGACTTTTGAACGGATACGACATTAGGAGCGGAGGTATACGGGCTAGTTCGTATGGCGGTCGCACTGTTTTCTGTCGCTCGTAGATCGGATAAAGAGTAGGTCGAACCGGCACAGGTAAACAACCCCATTAGCCGTGAGCAGGAAGCATGACGACAGGAGTGCAAGACGCGCTGTCGACACAGCAGGAAGATATTGTACGAAGGCAATTTTTTTTTGGCAGGAGATGAGCCATCCGTCAGTCCCGGAGCGCGATGTTCGTCGCCCTTAACATCAACACGTGGGATGCGGAAGGAGGCACGCTTGTGGTGTTCGCCGACCGCCATGCCGCCCACCAAGTCCCCAAGAACCTTGGCAAAAGAGCGTCGCACATTCGAAGAGACATACCAAGGCTGGGCCTGCGCATATCAGTACATGAAGGTGCAGAACGTGATTGCGGAAATTGCTGTAAGTGGTTGAGGTTCAAAATGACATCCTTGACATCAAATTTCACAACATGAGCGGTGGTATCTATCGCAATAGTTGCAAAGTGTGCATGAGAGGTATCGCAGTGTTCTAAAATGGGTTGAGACTTGACAGGACCTCATCGAAGAGCGCTCAAAACATCTGGAAACTCTACTAGATGTGAGAGAATTTGGTCAATAGTCAGGTATCGTCCAGTTGAGAACTGTTGACTGAAGTCATCGGAGTCCAAGATTTGGCGAACAGGCATGTGCAGACACTCAGGGCCTAATGTGAGTACCCACAGGGTCGTGGGATGTATGAGCCGTGAAGCTAGCAGTATATAAACTGCATCAGCTTCGACTGCTGTACTGTAGGTCAAGTGTTGAACTCATCCTCACCATCTTTTTCCATCGCCCTGTTGCAGTGCCCATCATCTGCCTGTTGCCCACCATGCGCACCTCCACAATCTTGACTGCCCTCTCTTTAGGACAAGTCACACTCGCAGCAATCGAACCCAAGAACTTCATATTCATCGTTCCCGATGGCATGGGTCCTGTCTCCCAGACACTGCTTCGCACATACCTGTCCATGGTCAACGGAAACTCGACCACTCGTGCTCCCCGAATAAATGCTCTACCTATCGACGTTACTGTCATCGGCAACACTCGAACCCACTCTGCCAACAATCTCGTGACAGATTCTGGCGCCGCTGGTACTGCTCTTGCCACGGGACACAAGACCGACAACGGAGCTATCGGTGTGATGCCCGATGGCACTCCGGTTGGATCAGTGATGGAAGCTGCGAAGCTAGCAGGCTATCTCACTGGCCTCGTAGTGACTTCACCCATCAGTCACGCAACTCCCGCAGGTAGGAAATGCTTTCCTGTTGCCTCAGATATTCGCTGACGATACCTAGCTTACTTCTCCCATGCTTTGAGCCGAGACGCTCTTGATAAGCTCGCAGAGCAACAAATTGGCTACAGCCATCCCCTAGGTATCAGCGTTGATCTGATGCTTGGTGGCGGTCGCTGCTACTTCCAGCCTCAGAATGAGTCTGACTCATGCCGCACTGATGACATTGACCTGTTCGCATACGCCGAGTCAAAAGGCTACTATACCGCCCGCGATCGTACGAGTTTCGACGCTCTTGAGCTTGGTCTAGGTGACATCAAGCTTCCTTACGTTGGCCTGTTCAAGGATGGAGATCTCAGCTATGAGGTCGACCGCCAACAACAAGCCGCGGAAGTCCGCGAGCCATCGCTGTCTGAGATGACTCAAGCTGCTCTCAATTCGCTTTCGCGGGCCAGTGCATCCAACGAGAAGGGCTACATCATGATGATCGAAGCTTCGCGGATTGATCACTCGTCGCACGCGCACGACTCAGTCGCCCATCTTCACGAAGTCTTCGAATTCAACAATGTCGTAAACATGGTCATGAAGTGGATTGATTCCCACCCTGACACCGCCTTCCTCGCTGTTGCAGACCACGAAACCGGCGGCATAACCATACCTTCTCAGTACGACCCATCGCTACTCCAACCCAGTATACACTCTGTCGAATACTTGAGTGAGCTCTGGAGCGACTACAACGGTACCGACCGCGCCGCATATCTGTCGAGCGAGATCATTCCTTCCTATGGTCTGACGAACGTCTCCGATGCCGAAGTTGAGACGCTTCTCTCCGCTGGCGATGAATTTGGACAGGAGCTAGCCGACCTTCTGAATGCTCGCGCTGGACTCGAATGGTCGACTGGCGGTCACACTGGTATCGACACCACCCTGTACGGCTATGCTGCTGGTGAAATGGGTGACAGGCTTGTTCTGGATATGGCGGGTGGTTGGGATAACACTGACTTGCCCAAATACGTGGCTGCCGCGTTGGGTGTAGACATGGATAAAGTCACGGAGCTGTTAAGTGCTAATGGAACGGAATGGGTACCTAGGGATGACGAAGAGTCGGAGCGTAAGCGCTGAAGAAAGCTTCCGACAGATAGCGCGATCAAACTCAAACTTTGTTGAGTTCACAAAGATGCTTTGCAGATGCCTGTGATGTTCTCCAATAATAGGAATTGCAGACGGTAAAGTTGAGCTGACCCTCGCTAGTAGCCGGAGAGTAGCTCGGCTGTCCTCGGGCATAGGTCGGCTGTCCTCGAAATCAAGCGAGGACAGGGCAACATCCCAGGAACTGTGTGGTTTTACGCTTAGTACCTTCCTGATCGGGCAGCTTTGCTGGAGGCGTCGATTGCGGCAAGAAATGGTGCAGCTGAGCTGTCCTCGAACCCCAGCCACCCGTCACCCTTTAAGCATTGACCCTTTCGCTTAAGCTCACGAAGACAGGGCAACGGTATTATGTAAGCGCGGCGCGCAGATGCCCGCGATGCGAGCATGTCAAGTGCATCCCGCAATCTCAACATTTGGAAACCAGGGCGGCTGCGGTTTCCCGTCGACACGAAGAGCTTGGGCGTCAGTGCGAAGGGAACACACGAAATTTGATCAGTCAGACCGTCATCGCGCGTACATACGCATGAGGCGGTTGTTGGGAGTCTTTCCGGGATAGAGACTGTGAGACAAGTTTACTACCGAGCTACCCAACAAGAGCGTGGAAAGCCAAATCCGAGATTCGACCGGCATTACTTGGTGGTCCCGAGACGCGAAAGGTGATTACACGATAGATCGCGTAGCATTTTACCACGGCATCCGCGAACAAGCAGAGGCGATACCTACCACAAGGATGCGCCATCCCGCAGCACCTACGATCATCGCTGTGCTCCTCGGTTTTCTCTTCTTCATGATATTATGGAGTCGAGCACGAGACGACGGCCATCACGAGGGTAATCCCCATCCGGACGATGTACCGCGAAAAAGGGAAAAGCAGAAAGAGCCTTCGTCAAGCAGTGACGAGATCGAAACATCCGAAGCTCAAAACGATCACTGAATCTATCCAATCACTCTCCTCTCCGAAAGCGCGCAGGTGGTATTTCCGGCTCGTAAGGTTTTCACTACGCGCAGTCTCGAAGACCACCAACGAGTGCATTGAGCGGAGGAGAGAAATAAGAGCGCCCATGGACGACGTCAGCATCTTGTGTATGAGAAATACAGATAGTGCACATGCACAAGTCCATTTGGACGCTTGGAAGAAGATGCAGCGCTGCAGTTTCCGAATTACCTCTACTACTACTGGGCTACGATGAAGCACACTGGAACTAGGGCTTGGAGGCATTTGAGAATGCCTCTAGTCGATCTGCTAGTTGCTCCCACATGGGCTCTCCAACCCTCGCCGTGCTTCGCAGACCCGCTGCCACGAAAGGGAGAAGTCTTTCGAACTCCTGATCTACATGCTTATGGCTCTTACCCTCAGCCTGCGAAAGTAACACACCAAGATCCAGAAGTTCAATGATCGCTTTATGGATTGGCTTCACTTCCTTCGACAAGAGCGCTCGCTGGTGCAATCTTTCCATACACTTGATGTGAATCTGAGACATCTCGTCGATATCATCGGCCTTTTCCATTGCCGAATTCATGTCTCGTATGGTCAGGAAGACGGCAGTCTCGGTGACATAAGAACGGAGGACATCGGCGAACCAATTCAAGCGTTGCAGAAGTCTGTAGAACATCGGTGAACGATTCTTTCTGGATGCGCGAATGCGCGCGCGTTGCAGTTGGTATTTGACTCGGTAGACCTGCATCAGGAACGTACAGATCTCTTGGTAGATGGGTATGGACGAGCGTTGGATAATGTTTTGAATCGACCAAGGTACCTAAAAAGATCTTTAGCTGGGTCACATAAGAGCATTCTTCCGATACATACCGCATAATCCACGGAAACGGCGGCTAGACCCTTGACCGAGCTTCCTTGCGCCTTCGTTTTCGTAGAACGAACGACAAGTTTCTCCGTGTCGGGACCAGAGAGGATCGTACCGAAAACGCCCCGTGCAAGCTCCGTGAGGACGTATCGATCGTTCCAACCTCGTCTGCCGGCATCCATGCGCTCAAATATTGCAGTAGCAAAGTCCTCGAACACGGCACCGTTCCTGCCTAAGTAAAGTGTTTCGAATGTATGTAGCACACGCATCAGGCCATCAGTCTCGAAGATGTGTTGACGAAGAACGTTTGAGGCGACTGAGTACTTGCTACGTATCCATTTCTCGAAGGCTGTCTGGAATAGTTCTGGGAAAGGCGAGAGGGGTACGTCGGATGACGTATCGCAGACTGTTTCATGGTCGAGGCGCGGCTCCGCCAGTGAGGAATGTAAACCTGTATCATAAATGCCCAGTTCTTTCAAGAAAATAACGCTTTTGCCTGTATTGAATATTTTCTTAACAGCTGGCTGTAGAAACGCAGGCAACTGCATGTGTTCCTCAGAATTACGGCGGAGCATGAAGCGGTCGTGCCAAAGGGAAGCAGCTTCACTCGTTGCATCGCTCGAGATGACAAAGAAGTTCTCCTCGTCGGGACCAAGCTCGCCGGTTTCCATCCACCGTCGGATTGGCTTCAGATATGTCTGTAAGCACTCAAAGAATATCTTCGACGTGTATGCAAAGATTTCGTCTTCCAGCGTCATCTGCGCTAGAGTAGTCTGCTCGTACAATGCTTCCAGGTGGTAAAAGGGATTTACAGGTATCGATGGATATTGAGTTGCCGTTGATCGACTCAGACCATCGACAATCGGCGCCAGACGTAAGATAGGGTGACATAGTGCCCGCACATCGCCGTGCAACGGCAACAAACTGACGGGAAGTGGCGTATCAGGAATGAGATATCTCTGCTGCATCGCGGATAAGGAGTGGTCGAAGTCAAGTAGTCGCTTCCGTACAACGGCCTCGAAGGTCTGGACAAGAGGTGATGACGGTGGCTTCTTGGCTCGTTGTTGCAGCGTCCAGCGTCTTATCGCCTCTATGCGTGTTCCAGTGTCGGCGAATTGAGAAAGGAGATGTGTGATAGCGGTTGATTGATTGTTGTCAACGGTATATGTCTCATTGGGGATAATGCTGTCCTTTTCGATCCGGTACAAGCTCGTCTTCAGCCCACCAAGCATGAATAGCGTTTCTCGCACAGCCTGCAGCTCTGTTATGTTCACGCCAGTGCTACTGCGATCCGCGCCCGAGGTCCAAAATTGCGCGGCTTCCAGCTTGGTAACAAGATTCTCCTCTGTAGATGAGATACAGGCTTCGGGATCGAAAGTATCATCTGCGTCGAAATTGGTCGGTGGTGTGCTTGGAGCCTTCCTGCGCTTTTTGGGCGTTTTCTCGTCGCCCGAAGAGTCCACGGCATAGTCGATGTCCTTCCAAATATCCTCATCGCTGTAGGGGTCGTCTTCAAGGATCTCCGCCCAAGTCAGTGGCGGCGGAGGGCTAGGAGGTCTAAGCAGCTCTAAGGCTTCGACCTGGGTGTTCTCAAGAGGCCGATCGGCGAGCTGGAGTAACAGAGATAGGAACTCTGGCTTGAACTTGTTCGTGTACGTCTCCAACTTTTGAAGCCGTATTTGGAGCGCATCAGCGAGGTCATCGCGGTTCTTGATGCGGAACTTCTCATCCAGGCCGGCAAAGCTCGCCGTAACGTCGAATTGATTTGTTCTTGCATACTGGTGCCCTCGAAGATTGCGCGATGCAATCTCTCTGGCGTGTCTGTAGGCCTGTTTGTTGGCTGCTGGATCGTGTCTCAGTATGGACTGTATCAACTCGTCCGTAAGTCCGGAGATTTTCGCGTTTTGGGCCATGGCAACGCGTCCTTCACCTGCCGTCGCGCGATGACGCCAGAGGAAATAAGATCCCGGTCGTAGTGATATCGTTGTGGTGACTTGCAGCGGTTGATTCGGCTCCACTTGACAGAGACATCATGCCCGATGTGGGCTAGCGTGATCACGCACCGCGTCACCGCCGGCTGTGAAACTCGAGGTTGAGCGCTCCTGCGACTTTTCTGAGGCGGGACTGTGTCCCAACCCTCGGCCACCGCAACTGCAACTGCTCGTTACCATGGCGCTTCCCAAGGGCATGCGCTACTTGGCTGGCGCCACTTTCTGCATCTTCGTCTATCTGTTTGTGCAAATCCTCAAGGCCCCTGGTTCCGAGAAACCCGTCGAGATTCCGAGCAAAGTTCCGACCAACAAATTCGGCGACTGGGACCATGACCCCCAATTGGATCGTAAGGCAGTTTGCGATATGTTATGAATCCATTATAGATGCTAATCATGTGATCAGCCTCCGGCGAACCTCCCGAGCCGCTGCGACGAGTCGACGGTGACAACTACGCCCCAAACAATCCCGCGAGCGCGCGCATCAACGCCACGATCCTCAGTCTAGTCCGCAATGAAGAGCTCCACGACATGCTGCAAAGCATGCGCGACCTTGAGCGTACTTGGAACCACAAGTTCAACTACCCCTGGACCTTCTTCAACGATAAGCCCTTTACCGAAGAGTTCAAAAAGGCCACGCGAGCAGCTACCAACGCCGAAGTACGATACGAACTGGTTCCTGCCGAACACTGGGACATTCCGTCGTGGATAAATATGGACTTGTACGAGGAGTCTGTGTCCCTGCTCACGTCGCTGGATGTACAGTACATGGGCAAGAAGTCTTATCACCAGATGTGTCGGTGGAACAGCGGCATGTTCAGCGAGCACCCTGCGCTCAAGGACATCCAATACTACTGGCGGGTGGAACCAAACGTTCACTTCTTCTGCGATGTCGATTACGATGTCTTTGCTTGGATGCAAGATCACAACAAGACGTACGGCTTCAACGTCAACATCTACGATAACGCCGACAGCGTTGCGACGTTGTGGCCAGAAACGAAGAAGTTCATCCAAGACAATCCGGGCTATGTACATCCAAACAATGCGCGCGAGTGGCTGGAAGACGACCAGCGCCGGCCTGAGAACAACAAGAAAGCCCATGGCTACTCAACATGCCACTTCTGGTCCAATTTCGAGATCGGCGACCTGAGCTTTTGGAGGAGCAAAAAGTACCGCGACTATTTCGACCATCTCGATCGCGCTGGAGGCTTCTTCTACGAACGTTGGGGCGACGCTCCAGTACACAGCGTCGCACTGGGACTCTTCGAAGACAAGAGCAAGATACACTGGTTCCGAGACATCGGTTACCAACACATACCCTTTTTCAACTGCCCGAACAGTCCAAAGTGTTCCGGTTGCGTCACTGGTCAGTTCACAGACGGCGAGAAGTGGCTGAACCGGGAGGATTGTCGGCCGTTATGGTTCAAATACGTTGGCATGGACTGAGCTCTAGTCTGGGTAACGCTGCCGCGTATTGCCTACAGCTATGTGCAGCGTATAGTAGTCTCGGAAGCGACTGATATGATTGTACTTGCTCACCTTACGAAGGTTTTAGCTGTTGTGGAGTTATTTGGCGCCTGAGTATGTACGATTTCCATCTCGGCATGACGCATTTACGTGAAGAAATAGCAAATATACCAATAGACGCAATGCATTTTATGATACAGATTGTCGCCGTTCAATGAACCATCACGCTGACTCCACTAGGTGAAATGCACTTCCCGGGTAGATACCCTGTGCCTACACGCTCATACACCTTCTTCCCAGCCCGTTTGCTTCGTGCTGTTGCCGCGATGATCAAGATGTAGTGTCTCTGCGTCTCGGGCGAGAGGCTGCCTCTCGCCTTTCCAAGCACAACGCACACCGTTTCTGGTCTAGCAGACCCATTTGGCGTGTCGAAGATCAGATCACCCTCGCCCTGCACCGCTGCACCGAGATCATATTCCCGCGCTGTGGCGTGGAGTGCCATATTAGCCACGTTGAAGTCTGTGCTGGATACATTATCTGGGGCCTTGGGTGACCACGGCGATTGTAGGTCTTCCCACTCGAAATTATTGAACTCGGGCTGTAGGTAATCGATTCCGCCCGTGTATGCCATCCATGACCATGATGGCACATTGGAAACGACACTATGTGACGGGAAATGGATACGTGTCAAACTTGGGGTGTCGATACCGCGGCGCCAAAGAAGGCTTCTTCTGAGTAGGCCACGCGTCACACCTTCATCGAAAATACCGAAGCCACCCTTCACTCGCATCGTGCGGAGAAGGCGTTGTTGAAGTCCATCAATAGCAGTCGGTCGGTCGTATGGCTGTGATAGACCAAGTCGGGAGTATTCACGGTAGAGCTCTTGGTAGCGCAGAATCTTCTCGCCTTGAGATGCGTTGTACAGGATGTGTGGAAAATCTGGATCTCCCAGGAAAGCACAAAGTTTGCTATGCTCATTAGTTTGACGGATTGATTCTGGAGCATAGCATGTCGACTTACTTGCTCAAGTTTGTAGAGGTTTCACAACGTACGCCTTTCCCACACTCAAAGTATGTTTGGTGTTCTGTAAAAAATAGTGTTCGACGAGCTAGAGCATGCTCTTGTAACACCCACCCGCGACTATTCAGCTCGCCATCGAGAACATGGTCCTTGAAGTTGTCGATACTTTCGCATACATAGAAGGGTGTCTCGCCTTTGCCTTCGCGGCACAACCCAACATAGCTCCTGCGGTTTCGCTGCTTGAGAAAACCCGAAAAGTGGTCAGCTGAACAGCTTGCAGCGATCACACAGTAAGCGCCGCTGTAGACATCTTCCATTCGTTTCGCTTCGGTGTTGAAGTCGCCACCCGGCCCTTGGATAACGCAAAGGGAATCAATCCAGAGGTAGCGACGCCCTAGGGCGCGAGTCACTGTCACCGCATCTCTAAAAGTGGCTGGAAGAGCACTAAGTTGAATGCCATCAAGATGTGCCTGGAGAGTCTCGGGGGTAGTCGAAAGGTGTTGAAGTCCCCATCGGTGCGACAACGCAATCCATTCGCCAGAGTCGTTAGGAGTCGTGGCCCACAGCCGAACACTCTTGTCTCCATGATTCCCAACGTCGAGTAACCTGGTCGGTAATCGAAGCTTGGCACCAGTGGCAGCATGCTCGAGCGGCTTGCATCCGTGGTGTCTGTCGCAGTTACTGAGCCAGTACTTGATGACCTCTAGATGTGTGGAGCAACCGGCCTCCGGAAGCCCAACAAATCCCAGCTGGAACTCGCTGGTAGGCGGCAGCAGTTGTTCGGGATCTCGAACGATAGATAAAATACGTGGACCGGTACTCTCTATCCTCAAAAAAGGACCCGTCCGCTCGAATTTGATGGTCGAAGTCTCTATTCGCCCATTTTGTGCGGCTTGCCACAGTAAAATGCATAAATCACATCTCTTCTCGCCCGCGGTCGTTCTCAGTGCGCTCATATCGTATGACATGGCGAAACCTGGACTGGAGACCTCATCCCGGAATCGTACGCATTGATCACAGAGGTGTGATGATACAGCCCGGTCAGAGGGTTCAAGTACATGAGAGCTCCTGAGAGACTTGAACAGATCAGTCGCAAAGTCATTTCCGGGCTGATACTTCCAGTCGTTTTCGTCAAGTTCCGGCGTCCCGTAATCATCCTACATAATACCGCGTTAGTCAAGCTGATCGTCAAAATTATCTAGTGGTCAAGAACTCACCCCGTTCTGCATTGAGACTGCAACATCTTGTGCCTGATAACCATTCGCTGGACCATAATCTGATGGTGCGGATGTCGCACTTGCATATGATGAAAAGCCTTCAAGCTTCTGTGCGTCAAGAGTTTGCATGTACCAATAGCTTTCATCTTCGTCTTCCTCGTTGATGGTCTCAACACGTTTGCGGAACTCGGTTGCCAGACACCGAGCAGGTCCGCGGGCCTCAGGCTCTGGCTGTATGGGGATTCTGTCGGGCTCTGGCTCCGCAAGGGTGAAGCTAAAAGAAGGGACATCTATCGCAGGTTGTGGGCTCAATTCGACAGCCTCTTCATCGGGGGTGATGTTCTGAGATGTCACTCGAGCGACGTCCATGTGTGGATCTACGAATGAATCTGTGCGTGATCTCTCAGGGATGCCAGCGAGTGTTGTGCCAAGCCTTCGCGGAAGCTTTACAACCAGCAAGGCTGTTCGCACTAGCTCCAGAAGATTACCAATGGCAGTAACACCCACTTGGCACCTGGGATCGTCCGCCATTTGATCCATCCAGCGCACAGCAGCATTGTGTACTTGGGCCACCTTTTTCCCGTTAACGACATTGGTTTGGTAGAAGCTACCATACCCCAACTCGCGATCGAGACGGTTGAGGCCTTCCATGCCGTACAGGAGCCATATAGTGAGTTCCAGGGTAATGCAGCCCATTGCCCAGATATCGTACAATCGCGAACGCCGCTTAGTCGATTGCCCCAACCACTTGGCTGTGACACCCGTTTCTACCTCCGGTGCCTCATAACGACGGGTCCCATACTTTGCCGTTGTCTTGCTAGGGCGCATCTCGGTAGCTTGACCGTGCTCTCTAGCCTCCCCCCAGTCGCCAATCTTGAGAGTGCCAATCAATCCACCGTCTTTGAAGACCAGGATATTCTCAGGCTTGAGATCGCCATGTCGATACGAAGCGCCAGTCGCATTCAGATTATGGGCAGCATCAAGTGCTCTAGCGAGCCCGAGGATTTGTTTGACAATGTCTTTGACGAGTGGTGCGGTCAAAGTAGGTGAGGGCATACTTTTCCACAAAGTCCGAAGATTGCCACCGTCTGCCCATTCAAACATCAAGTAATGCTCATCTGCCCCATGCTGTCGCCGCCGTCGGAAAGCCGTGATAAATCGGACGATATGCTCTTGATTCAATCTATTCATGGTCCTGAGGGCCTTGACTTCTTTTTCCCAATGTTCTGCTACTTCTTGCGCGTCTTCCGTAGCTTGAATCTCTTTCACAGCGAAAGGCGTGTCGTCGTCAAGTTTCTACAAAGGTCAGCCAGTGTCTTGCCAAACCCCCATTACTAGTGGGTCCCTACTGGTTCCATGTGGTTTTGGTGCATCACATATCTCGAGACCACTCCGAAGGAGCCTCTTCCATCGTCATTTGCTTTGGATGTAAAAGGAAGTATGCGAGACTCTTCGAGGTCATGGTTGTATTTCGTGGTGGAGAACGTGGCAGCATAGAACTTCCACTGATGTTCAATGAGATCGTCGTACCAGGATCTCTTGCAGAACGCGTTCTCGGGATCGGTGATCGGTAGGTCGGTATCGTTCAGCCCCTTTGATTGGAACCACTTCATGATCTTGTTGATTTTGGTTAATTTTGCGCACACAGCTATAGTAAAGACTTTCTGCGCCTGTGTCCTGATGAATTGTACCAATGCGTCATCTTCTGGCGTTGGCTTCTTGATGTTCAATACATCTTTGATCATCTCCTCTGTGACCAATCCGCCTAGAACACCTTCGGGAAAGAAGTCGCACAACGTTCTCTCGAATGTACTCTTCTGCCGAACGTTCTTCAATTTCGTCCTGAATGTCTGCTCTCCTCTTGTTGTTTCATCGTCTGACGAAGGTTCGCTTGTGGCCATGTTGGGCCAAAGAGGCTACGGTAAAGAGAGGACCTAGGAGCGGATGGTTTCTAGGTAGCGCGAGGCTCGTAGATGAACACGAAAGTCGGTAAGCCGGTTTCAGATGCGCATGCGAGGCGAAAGCTTGTGTCTGCTGTCACATATTATACTCGACCTCATCGACGATGTCCGGGTAGATAGCGATGCATCCTCCTAAACTCACAGCGCGGGACCCATTAGGAAACACGGCCGGGGAACAATGTTGCGGCACAGTAAAGCCTTTGGGTTCAAGGCTTCTCGCAGGGGGGTGAGCTGATATTACGAGCAGCCTGCAGTCGGATGTAGTGCTTCCGGCGAACCTGCAGCGTAACAGTAGATAGCGACATTGGGGCGCAAAACGTGGGGGAGTAGCACTTCCAGCCCCGTCGCAGTAGTAAAGGAGTGAGTGCACCATGCAATTGCGTTCTGATTCGAGACTACCTAGATTTGCGCCATGCCGTGATAAAGAGGCGATATCAGGTACAGGGGATGCGCATGCTTGTGCCTGTCGTTCAGGTATCGTTCGCACGAGATGATTGTACCTAGGTAGAGTGAAGAGGTTTGGGCGTGAGCCCGGCAACACAAGCGCTGCCCCACTTTGTCGCCGTACCTAGGTATTTAGCGCCAGCCCCTGACACCACCTGCACCAGCTCTGGACGGCTGCAAGCCGCTGCTCTTCCTTCCCACATTTCTAAGATCATCGCAGCAGCTAGCACACTTCAAGTGCGATACCAATTGCACACCACTTCGAACAATGGCACGTACCCGTGGACAGCTAACATTGCGCAACCATCCCGTGTGTGCGAGCCCGACGAGCGGGTATGTGAGTCCTGTTACCGGCACTGTTCAATATCGTCCTACGTAACATCAGACACGGCTATAAGAACGGATTAAGATCATCAACGCACCGCTGTAAGCCGGTCAGGCGCTGTTATGTGATACGTATCATGCATCATCTACAGTCCAGGGTTAGCGGACTTCGACCTCGCCACTCTCCAGGAGCCTACCTACATAAATCTCGAACTCCGATCCGAACCTCAGCTTCAGCTTAGCCATCAACTTTTCCGGGTCTATGCCAGTGACGTCAATCTTCTGAACGACGTCGCCACTGGATTCCGCTGAATGCTCCGGGTTCGGAGATGGTGGCTTTTTTGAGGACTTTCCGAAGGACAGGAGTTTCTTGAGTCCAGTCATTATGCAGACGTCTGCTTTGGGGGAAAGATAGTCGATGTCAGATTGTGAAGCTTGTCTTTACAGTACTTTTATACTCATTCTCCCATAATCTTGTGGGCTGAGCGCTCTGTTGGTATCACGTTGCACCCAGATTGGGCGGCACGACGAGCACCAATCAAGCTCGTACCCGGTACACCAAGTACATTAGCGCCTGAGGCATGTTAGAGGCGCAGATGGCGCCGTATTTCCCTCCCTCAGCTCCATCAGTCTCGTGAGCCGTGCGACCCGTGGTGTGGACGGTTTACCTAACATAGCCACAAGCGTGGTGGTGTTAGCTGTAAGACTCAGGTGGAGGACTTCTACTGCACTGTGCCCCTTCGTGTCTTGTTGCTCACCCGGGTAGAACAGTGTCGTTCTTGACTAATCTGTTGTCATATACGTTCTAGACCCAGTCAAGTATTCCGATACGGAGAGACTCAACGTGCGTTCAATCCTTAAGCGCAAGGTTGACGGCAGGGCGAAAGAGACTGTTTACACAAATCTGTGCCTGTCCCGGCTGCAGGGGTATTGCAATCCCGCAGTGTTGGACCCCACGTCAAATCGCCACTTCGAGGAGTACTGCACCTGGGGTGGTCTTAAGGCTAGAAGATCACCCTATGGTTCCCTTGTATCTGTCTGCCTGAGGATCTATCCATTAGCATGCTCGGTCTCCAGTATTTGGCGTTGATTCAATGATTCCGTTAGGCCAAAGATTCCAAGAAAAATTGCGGAGCCCAGAGCTACGCAGTAGACGTGCGTCAGCGAGTGCGTGCGCGCGCAGCAACGAGCTCGCTCACGTGGTGGACGGCCCCACCGACACCGGTAATGGAGGTGCGTTCTTAGTGCAACGATGTCTGAGCCCAATGACTGATGCAGTTGTATAGAGACACAACCAAGGATCCGTCCAGTGAGCGTGCCTTTGTTCGAGTGTGGCCCGAATGCGTCTGCCCTCACTGGAGGCAGCTCGCAAGCAACGGTATCGAAGGAGCTAGATCATCGGTCACTCGATCTGACCACCGTACGATACACTTCGGAGAATCTCAAGACTGCTCGGGTGCCTCCTGATACCCACGGTGAACACGTCAAGGGTGGACATGATGGCAGGGCCCTCACTAGGCGGACACCAGGAAAGACGCTGCCGAAAGCTCAGACAAAAGACCTGCAAGTAAAGCAGGAACATCAGCATTCGGATGCTGGTACCTTTGCGGCTGTGGTGTTGGCCCAGAGATGGCTGAGCAGACTCCAGCTCCAATACACTCATCCAATAACCAGAAGTCTTCAGCAAGCTTCAGAAATCTCGTATCGCCAGCAAAGGTTCATCCCGGAGTCCCGCATTCGAGACATCATACACGACAAAGTTGTACAGACCGATCTTTTCAAGGCCCATGGCACGATGGGTAAGCCGTCGAGGACGCTGCAGACTATGGTCATTCCCGAGGACTATATGTCATACAGGAAGATACTCGCCATACTGTATCTTATGAAGCGGCCTTCTAAGATACGACTTTTTGTGCAGTCCGGGCTTTGCGACGAACACCTTCCACTTAAGAAGATTCAAGGTCCGAAGGATATTGATCGCGCAACTACTATGACCAGTCGAAGAATGCAGAAATCTCCCAGTATCAGATTTAAAAGGCTAGACGATGCCGATGAGTTCTTAGATCGACAGTGGTGGGTTCTTGCACCCATGTTTGATAGACCAAGCGAAGGTGTGTCGCACAAAGACCTGGAGTGTGAAGCTGTATTGCCTTTTCTTTCGGAAACAATGATTGCGAAAGAGGGGGGTTCAAGTCAAGTGTTCAAAGCCAAGATTCATCCCGATCACCATCGTCTAAGCCAGTCCGATGTGAGTGCTATATTGCTTCAGCTGTACGACGTAAAGACAAGCTGACAAATGTTCCTACTCAGCGCCGCTCCGATGTATTCGCAATCAAGATTCTGAATTCAAGAGACGATGAGGCCTTCAGCCAAGAAGTGACAGTTTTGAGAAAGCTCAGTACAAAGAGGCATTCCCACGTTCACCTCATCACTGTGTTGGCTACCTACCGACATCGCGCAGCTTATCATCTCATTTTCCCATGGGCTGACGCTGACCTTTTCGACTACTGGAAGCGACATTCAGAAGCGCCACCCGAAGAGAATCAAATAGGCACATGGCTGATAGAACAATGCCGGGGTCTTGCAGATGGGCTCAACAGTATTCATCGTTATGCGACATTCTCTGGAACATCAATCCTCAACGCTTTCAGCCTCCCCAACAGGACGAGAACAGAAGGTTGTGACCGAGCCACCACATCTGGAGGATTGAATGCCAATAAGTCAATCAGGAACCTGTTTGGCCGGCACGGGGATCTCAAACCACAGAATATCCTTTGGTATCCACACCCTACAACTACGGGCGGTCACGGCATTCTCAAGATCACTGATTTCGGGGTAACTCGATTTAACACTGAAAACATGTGGGACACTCAGAAGACTGGCAGATTACCCGACTCACGTACCTACCGATCGCCAGAAAGTGATCTTGACGGTAAGTTGACTACTGCTTGCGATGTCTGGGCCCTTGGGTGCGTATACCTAGAATTTGTGACTTGGTACTTCGGAGGTATTGGCCTGGTCGAAAGGTACGGCAAGATGCGCCTGGCGACAAATCCTCGTGAGTCCAGTATACCAACGGACACTTTCTTCTCAATTCACGAAGTAGGAGGGCAAAAGACGGCCGACGTGAAGCCGGCAGTTCTTAAGGTGAGCTTAAGGTCTCATCATATCCGTCATGCTGCTATCTTTTGCTTACTGCATTCGGCTCGCGAAGCTACTGAGTGATGCTCGGCAGCAATTCGATATCACCCAGCGCTGACTCGTTCTAGACCATTGAAGAGTTACGAGAGCATCAACGTTGTACGGAGGACTTCAGCAACTTCCTTGATATGGTCAAGGACGACATGCTAGTTGTTCGTCGGCACGAAGTAGTGGAAAGTGAAGATGAGAGTCCAGTGCTTCGAAAGACCGCCTCAGAACCCGCTGGTAGTCCACGCCTTGGTAAAATCCGTCGAAAGAGCTGTGGTGATGTCTTCCGCAGATTGGGCGATATCAAGCCTTGCGTTGATCAAGAAGAAGACCTGGCACGGCAGAGCGCGTTCGAACTAGTGTCGCCTGTATCTCAGTCGCATCATACATGGCCACAACCAGAGGACTGAATCCAGCCGGCTTTTTATTCTCGAGTTGCCAGGTGGTATGTGAATGGCAGAAGGTCGACTCATCTGGACCACGTCAAATTACTATCTAGGTAAGTCTGGCGCATTTACGAAGTCATTGAGCAGAGGACTCGCCATCAACTGGAAGGCGATGAAGTAACAGCTCCGTATCATAAACTTGGTATGCTGCTGAGCTGTTTGTTGGTTACCCATCGCCCAAGACATGGTGGGGTAATGGCCCGACAGTACCCGCAGGCAAGCACCTCCGCATATAACGGCAACTTCAACACTAGGCAACAGCAAGTGACACCGAGATAGGGCGCAGAAAGGACATTTGGAAGACAAGGAAGGAATCCATCGCACGATCAGCATAAAGTTCATCGAACGTACCTAGGTAGTTCACCAAGTTCCCGGACCATCTGAATTCGGCCCTTCTCTTAACCACCATGACTTTTACCGTCCTCTCCGACGCCGACATCAAAACCCTCCTCCACAACATTTCTCCATCCGATGTCCAGAACCTCGCATCAGCACTCAACCAAGCCCTTACCGAATACTCATGTAACGATGAAGTTC